GGAATGAAACTTATCAAACCACGCCCGAGGGGCCTGTTTCAGACCATAGAGAGAACGACGAAGTAAGCACACCTGGCCTGGCTCGCCGCAGGTATAATCAGGAGGTGGTTCCATATAGACAGTCTCCTTAAGCTCCCCATGCAGAAATGCATTCTTAACATCAAGCTGAAACAATGGCCAACCTCGAATAGACGCCACAGCCAAGAGAGCACGAACTGTGACCATCTTTGCAACCGGGGAAAAGGTCTCCTCAAAATCAATGCCTTATTCCTGACAAAAACCTTGAGCCACCACCCTAGATTTGAACCGCTCAATGGAGCCATCAGGTCGGACTTTAATGGTATAGACCCACCGAGAGCCAATAACTGGAACAGAAGGAGGGGGCCGAGGGACCATATCCCATGTATGATTGGCATGGAGAGCATCAATTTCCTCCGTCATAGAATTATCCCAATCCGGATTCCCTTTAGCCTGTGAGTATCGAGTAGGAACAGGAATGGGATCAACACTGAAAGCCAAATAATCCATATGACGTACCGGTGGAACACCTCGGGTGCTGCGAAGTGAGCGGCGAAGTGGTTTCACTGGAGGTGGAGAAGGCGAAGGCGAGGCAGACGATGACTCGTCGGACGAGCTGGAAGCCGAAGGCGCGGGCGAAGGGGGGGAGTCGGGGGGCAGCTCGGGAGCTTCATCATCAAGATATCCATCGTCATCATCACCAAAAGAAGGCGGAGCAAGGGATAGGTCGAACAAGGGAGGGTCGGACACAGAGGAAAAAGAATGGTGCATCAAATTCTCAAAAAACACAACATGACATGCAATACGAACACGACGGGAAGAGGGATCATAACAAAGGTAGCCTTTATGAATGTCACTATAGCTAAGGAAACATCAACGGGCAGTTTTAGAAGTAAGCTTAGTGCGTTCAGATCAAGGGAGAAGAACAAAACAGACACACCCAAAGACACGAAGGCGGGAATATGGTGGAGGTTTGGAAAACAGGCGGAAGTAAGGGCTAGTTTGGTCGAGAACTGGTGTAATCTGATAATTGATAAGACGCACAGCAGTAGCAACAGTTTCAGGCCAAAAAGACGAAGGGACAAAGGAGGAAAGCAGAAGAGCACGAGTGACTTCTAACACATGACGATTTTTCCTTTCAACGACCCCATTTTGTTGAGACACCACAGGACAAGATTTTTTAGACAAAATCCCCATATCACGATAAAGTTGTAACAAAGGACCAGAACTAAACTCCCCTCCCGGATCAGAACGGACTACACAAACAGTTCTACCAAACTGGGTTTTAATCATAGCAAGAAACTCGGTGGCAACAGTCAAGAGATCAGACTTTAGGCGAAGAAAGTACACCCATGTATACCTAGTAGCATGATCAATGAACAGAGCAAAATATTTATAACCCAGTCGAGAAGTCGTAGGACTAGGCCCCCAAAGATCAGTGTGTATCAAATCAAAAGGCTCAGAAATAATGGTAAGACTAGAATGAAAAGAGATTCTCGTAGTCTTGGCCTCAATGCAACTAGTACATGAAAAATCCGACGAACACTGACCGTGGGTGTTATCCCCAAATAACTGTTGTTTAAACATTGTCATAAGTCTACTAGAGTTTGGATGGCCTAACCGAGCATGCCATAATTGAAAGTTTTTATCGGGAAGACTCGAAAACACTGTAGGAAAGAAGGTGGCTGGTGATGACAATGACGATGGGGGGCGCAGCTGGTCAAGAACAAATAAGCGCCCCGTCTTGCTGCCCCTACCGATCTCCCTCCCTGTCTTCTGATCCTGAATAACACAGCCAGAGGGTGCAAAAGTAACACAATAGCCCTGGTCAGTAAGCCCTACAGAAACCAAACTAGGCACCAACTTCGGCACATGATACGTAGATGGTAAAACAACATTAGAATTATGAACTGTGCCCATGCCTGCTACACTTAACTTCTCACCATTAGCAACTTGAAGAGATAGATCATTCACAGGCTGTAATTGCTTAAGCGTAGAACTATCACCAGTCATATGATTGAAACAAGCAGAATCAAGTATCCAGTGAGGAATCTTACCGGAAACTTGAAGACTAGCAAAGGCGGTGAAAATCTCCTTGTTAACCATTTGCTCAAGAGCTGCGGGAGTCACCAGTATGCCTTGGGAGTCACCACTAACCTGCGCAGCATATGCAGGACGCCGTGTAGAAGAGCCTCCCCGAGACGCAGCTCCATTCCCGCGACCTTCATCATCGCGAGATCGACCATTCCCGCGACCCTCGTCTTTGCGGAATCGACCCTCCAATGCTGGACAAGCTGAAATTATATGTCCAGTCTTTTTGCAATAGTGGCAAAGAATTCCTTTTCTTGCAGTACTTCTTCGTATGCCCGTTTTCATGGCAATGGAAACATTCGACATCGGCAGCTGAAACTCGGCGCTGAAAGGAGGGCCTATATGCTGCATAGGCCGAATCTCCTAGCTGCTAAGCCTGGTCCCGCGACGTAGAGGAACGATGGCCGCTTCCACCTGTAACTCCTGAAGAACCCTGCGGTGGTGAGCTGTTCGCGGCGCTGAAGACAGCAGCCCCGTCGCCGGTGCCTGGTCGAATGTCAAGTGCTGCCTGGGTTCGCAGTCTGGTTTCCTCCTGAATCAATGAGCTGAGAACCCCTTCAGCCTTCAAGTTCTCTCTATTAAGCAAGGAAGCACGGATTGGTTCGAACTCCCGATTCAGCCGCATCAAAAATTGCATCAGCCGTATCTTCTCTCTTTCGGCGCGAACCTCCGCCGAACCAGCAGTGGAGAGAAGAGAGACCATCACAAGGTCTTGCTCAGTCCATAAGTTGCGGGTAGCATTATAGTAAGACGTGAAATCCATGCTGCCTTGATAGAGAGAAGCAAGTTCTACCTCAATTTCATACTGCCGATAGGCAGTAGCTGTCTTGTATGTGGCCGCCAAGTATTGCCACATAGCAGCAGCAGTTGGAAGCATGCGAAGCCCAAGTATGATCGTTGCATCAACGGAATATAGGAGAAGCATACGAACCTTAGCATCATTCAAAGACCACTGTTGTACCTGATCGGCCGAGGCAGGAGGAGAAGCCGGCCGATCCACAGTTCCATCAAGCCAACCAAGAAGGCCCTTCCCTTCAATCAACGTTCGAAACTGAAACTCCCATATGGCATAGTTCTTGGAGTTGAGACGAGCAGTAATCTGACCAGAAGTCATAGGCTCTGATACCATGTTAATCGAAACATGAAAAGAAATAGACACACAAATTTACGTGGTTTCCTCGTTCTGTATGAATGAAACTAGTCCACGACCGAAGCTAGGTTTTCCTCTTATTCAGCTTAACCTTAACAGGTTCACTACTTCACTTACATACATATATATACACAAGCTAGGGTCTCTAACCCTAGACCATTATTCGGCTAACCCTAAGTCACTTACACTAATCATCCGTGACTAGGGAAGTGGGCCGAAGCCCATACATACTACTCAACAATCGCATTAAGAAGAGACACTAAATTTATAATGTAATGTCAAGTCCTTATCTTGTGTTCTATTTATCTAACGACTAAGTAGAATAAATTGTGACCAACATCACAAATGATGATCGACTAGTAGCGTATGAGGTGAATTTATAAACGGTATAGATGGCTTTCCAGAAGTTGATTACTACAATGACATAATTTACAAAACTACTGCCTTACCAATCTAACGATTCAGATGATTAGGAAACGATCAGACATTTTTTAATATATATATAAACGTGAAGTAAGGTTATTGTGGCCAAAAGAAGTACATTTTGATAATCCAAATTTAATAAAATTACAATTAATCACTATAATGTATATTTTACTTTTTGATACCTCACATTTAATTTTAATGTAAAATCATTGAACAATTATGTTTTCGTATCTAAAATTTATGAGATTTTCGTAACTGCAATTTTTAAAATTTACATATTGGTCCAATTTTTACATTTCACTTGAATCCATAAATATAATCCATCAATCCATGAATCCAATCCACCATAACATAAACGTGAAGTAAGGTTACTGTTGTCAAAAGAAGTACATTTTGATAATACAAATTTAATAAAATTACAACTTAATCACTATAATGTATATTTTATATTTTGATACCTCAAATTTAATTTTAATGTAAAATCATTGAACAATTATGTTTTAGTATCTAAACTTTATGAGATTTTCGTACCTGCAATTTTTAAAATTTACATATTGGTCTAATTTTTACATTTCACTTGAACACATAAATCTAATCCACCAATCCATGAATCCAATCCATCATAACATAAAAGTATAAATTTAGTTTGTACAATACAAGATGTTGTATCACTCAACTGTACGAGAAGATTCAACCATTTTGGTCTTTGATGAGATTTTTACTTCAAAAAAACATGTATGATATCCATTTGAAATAATAATTATCATTTTTTAAAAGAACATTCTATTCGGTGATGTGACAACATATTTAGTAAAATATAATACGCATACATTAAGATATTGGTCTGTACAAAGTATTTGTATGACATTTTAATAGAACAATGTTTAAAAAAATCAACAGTAATAAAAATCAAAAGTTAAAAGTTAATATAAGTATTAGGGCTAATACCACTACAACACCCAAACTATCCCGAAAATGTCACTTGTGTCCTATTGTTTCCAATATTCCATCTGTGTCCTGAACTATTATTCCGTTAGTGTTGACCGGCGTTGACCGTTAGTATTTAACAGAAAATCCAGTCAGCATTGGCATGGCATCTGACGTGGAATTTTCATTATCAATTTTTATTTAATTTTCCATCTAAAATAATAAAAACAAGGAAACAAAATGAAAAATTCCAAAATCTTTTTAATCCCTTCGCCCGTCCACTTCTCCCAAAATCTTTTTAATTTCCCCCAAATCATAACCCTTCGTCTTCCTCCTCCTTCCTATACAGAAGAAATCCCCTCCCAAATCCGAAACCCAAAAACAAGATGAGGCCGCTAGACGAGGCGGAGACGACGGTCGTCTTCGAGAAGCTCCTGAGTTCACCGGCAACAACCTGAAGAACATCGTCGAGAGCCCCGCCCACGAGGGTCTGTACCCGAACCCCGGCCGCTACTGCTTCCGCCTCGAGAAGAACCGGGTCTACTACGTCAGCGAGGCCCTAGTGAAGCGCGCCACCAACATCAGCCGGAAGAACCTCGTCGCGATGGGCACCTGCGTCGGCCGGTTCACCCACGGCGGCAAGTTCACCTCACCGTCCAGTGCCTGGGCCTGCTGGCGGCGAACGCCAAGCACAAGGTGTGGCTGAAGTGACAGTTGCCGGAATCTGGGTTTGCTGTCCTTCCCCATTTTTTTAATTTCAAGATCTAATGATGGAGTCTTTTGACCAAGAGTGATTAGATGGCGAAGAAGAAGAACAATATTTTTGCAGGTTCGTCGCTTGGTGGAGGGAGACTCGATCCTCCTACCACTCTCGCTAGATCTGGGTTTTTTTTAGACTTTCTTTGCTGGCCGCTGTTGTTCATGCCCGATGAAGAAAGGGATGATTCTTTTTTGACAGAGGAAGAAGAAGAAAGGGAAAGTGCAAAGTCAAAATTTTCATTAATGTTGAGTTTACATATTTTGTGTTTTTAATATTCTTTTTATTTAATTTTGAATATAAAATATGAGGTGTCAATGACATGGCATCTATGTGGCTGTCACATTTTTTGCCACGTCAGCAAAAGTCAACTTCGCGTTGACCATCGTTTGGTCAACCGTTATCTTTAACGGTCAACGAAATTGACAGGATACAAATGACACAACGTATAATAGTTCAGGACACAGATGGAATATTGAAAACCATAGGACACAAGTGGCATTTTCGGGATAGTTTGGGTGTTGTAGTGGTATTAGCCCTAAGTATTAAAATGACCCAACCTTTCCATCATCTACTTACTCTTCATTTCATTTTTCACTCGTCTTCCATAACCCTTTCTTTATTTCTTTCTTTACCTTCTTTGTCTAACCCTAATTAGTATACTATTTTTATGTATTCTAATCACAAGTATGAACGGCTCCATACACGACTCACCAAAACTTTAGAGAATTAATAATTGAACCATGAACCATAAACTTTTTCAACTCAATGTCGAGTCCAATTAAAAATAAAGATATATGATTATTACTTATTATAAAGTCATCATTTTCCACTATGAGATTTGAAGGCGTGAAATTTTAAGCGAGTTTCTGTTTCTATTCATTTTGCTTCTCTATAGAGTTTTTCTTTTTCACTCGGACTAGATTTTCAACAATTATATGTTTGGCTAGGTACCTACACATATCAAATAAATAGTTTTCATTTTCTGTAAAAAAGTAAATAATTATCATCTTAAATAAATCACCATTAAAGGAATTAAGTCTCAACTATGCAAATTATAGTTCGGTACCTAAACTTAATAGAACTTAGATTTATAGCCTAAATGTTTTTAGCATTACAAGACCCCAAAAATCAAAATATTGATGGAACAATACATTTTAGTACCTAATTTTTTTGTACTACATTTTGGTACCTAAAATTTTGAAGTTCTACAAATAGTTCTAATTTTTATATGTGTAATTAAAACACGTTCGAATAAATGTGTATCCATAACCAACTCATACACATTTAGATTATGGAAGCAAATATCCATACGCTACTCAAACCCTATACAACTTCCAAACTCATATATATGTCACACATACCCTACCCATAAAATGAGTCTACTTGGGCTTAGGTAAATATCATTTATTAGCCCAAAATTTCAAAATATTTGAATTTGGATGTTGACTGTCATATATATTTTCTCATTCAATATCATATTGTCAAGTCAATATTATTAACAAAACTGCTAACAAAAAATTAATTTTAGGCTAATAATATTAATAAAACATCATAACGGGCCACATAATACATGCCGATAGACCATCTCCGTCCGCAACAAAGCGCGGCATCGCCACCTAGTTATCATAAAATTTACACCTCATGTAAGCCTTGGATCCTAATCCAGCTTTCATGGGTTGCAACACTCATGTTCACTTCTTCATGATCCCAAATCAAAGACTCTACGAAACTTTGAATTTAAATATTAAAGAGTAATATCACTGTTCAAAAACCAATTATTCTAAGGCTTGTGATTTATGCGATACACATTTTCCGTCCATCCTCCAAATCGAGATTAAAGCAAGTAATTGCCGAATCAATCAAATTCACACTAATAACAAACAATCCTAAGAAGTTGACCTCGTGATAATTTAGAACTCGTAACAATATCGGAATGAAAACATCTTCCACACTGTTTTCAAATCTGGGGTCAACAACCAATGGAAAAAAAAAAAAAAAACTAGCAACAAACCAATTCCCATCCCACTATTAATCCATCCTACTATCTTGCCTTTCACTTATGGCACTTATTCCCCTGCCTATCATGAACAATGGTATAGTTCTTGCTGCTAACATCCCTAAAATAGCACTTGTCCGACCCATCTTCTTCTTCTCCTCCTCCATAGTTATACCACTGCTTCGTCTCCCCAAATCCACCGCTCACCAAATCCCCCTGCACCACCATTTCCCCTCTCGCCCTCTGCAAATTCCCCAACCTCGACACCTCCTTCGCGCCGCGGAATCTCCTGTTTCCCAACCCCAGCGCCACCCTCGTCTCCAACAGCACCGTATTGTTCCTCCCCGCCTTCGAGTCCGTGTACAACTCCACGCTGAACCGGTTCGTCGATCGGAGCGAGGGACCACCACCGGAGAACGAAACCTTGTCGCTTACGTTACACCTCTGTTTCACCCTCTGAGAATCCCCTCCTTTCCCCATCTCCATCGAATTGCTGTAACTAAACCGCTGGTCGAATCGAGTGGTGATGTTACCGTTCGACGATTTCACCCACCCTTCCGTCGAAACCCACCTGCTCGCACCGGTTTCGAACTTGCCGTTCAGTCCTGTGAAGTTCGCGTCCGATGTCAGACCGAGTTCGCTTCCGTGGGCAACAAGCTTCCCTTCCGTCGTCTTCTCCCCTTCACGATCCACCCAGAGATGTAAATTTGCATCCACGAACCACACGCTCAACCCGTTCGTGACGCTAAACCCCAAACTATGCGCCTTCCCATCGAGCAAATTCCCGAGAACCGGGGTCAATTCGATGTCGTACGTCGGGAGATCGAACGATCCGATCCCCGAAATCGGCCTCCAGAGCAACGGATTGATCCCTCCCGTGTAGATCACGGTGAACGGCCAGACCGCACCCACCGTGATGACGCCGTCAAGACTAACCACAACCTCGCGAAACGGTCCGTTCCCTGGCGTGCTAGTCAAGTTGTTGGCTACAATGTAGTCGTTGGGATAGTTCGTGTACCAGAATTCGTCGTCCTGGTGGGGCGAAACGTAGACCTCGAGAACCGCCCTGTACGCGTTCGAGGGGATCGTGAACTCGCTCGACTCGATTCGAGTCGAGGAGTTCGCGATCTGGAACCACAACCCGTCGTTTAAATTTTAGACATTGCGCGAAATCGGCATGATCAGATCAGCAGCTTTACTATTTCCACCACCACCACCACCACCACCACCATCTCCTGATGCAGGGTAAAAGTAGATGCTCACATTGACATGGTAGATTCCGGTGTAGGTACCGTCGACGATGTTTCCGAGGAAGACGGCGAGATCCTGGGGATGTTTCGAAAGGAGGGAGGAAGAATACTTGGTCACGTCCTTACGGACGGTCCAGAGGATCCCGTTGGGACGGGGCTCGGCGGTGCAGCTGCGGAGAAGCTCGACGCCGCCGAGCCAGAGGCCGAAGATTCGGTCGAATTGTCGGCCCTTGCAGGTGGCGTTCCATTCGAGGACGATCTTGGAGAAGCCATGGGAGGAAGGACAGTGAGAGGGAGGTGTGTAGTTGGTGAGGAACGGTGGTTTGACGAACGTGGAGGCGAAGTCGTGGGTGAAGATGTGGTGGATGCAGGGGATTGTGTTGGGGACGGAGATGGGTTTGGTTACTTCGAAGAATTCGGTTGGTTTGGTGGAATGGGTTGGAGGGAGTTTGAGGGATTTTGTTCTGAGGTTGTGAAGGTTGGCTATGGCGGGGAAGGGGTGAAGGAGAAGGAGGAGGAGGAGGAGGAGGAAGAGGAGAGGCAGAGTGGAGGCAGGGGAAGGGAGAGGAGTGGTCATGGGTGTGGTTGTTTGGGGTTTGGTGGAATTGGTTGTGTTAGTGTTTTTCATTTATTTGCAGGTTTTAATTAGGACGGAAAACTCTATGTGATTAGGAGTCCAAAGCTTGTAGAAGACATTTTAGAGAATTTAAGGTGTGTCAATTGCGTTAATGGTCACCAAACTTTGGGAATGAAGGCTTCACTTAGTGATGACAAACGAGGTGGGTTGTTACTTTGATATTCATATATCTGTTGTGTATTAAGATTGGGTAGTACTTGCGCGGATATTAGTTTGGACAGGTTGATCTATTATCATATGTTATTTGAAGAAAATAAATGTATTTTTTTATCATTAAACAAAGAAAATCACTTCATGAATTTAAAAAAAATATAATAAAATAAGTAGTTGAGTCTAATTAATAAATATATCAAGTTTTACATCTATTTAAAATTTTAATGGGTGAAATATGATTTAAGAGAAAAATAAATTAGGACAAATATAAATAGATATTGTGATAAATATAGATAAAAATGGGTCAAGAATGTGACGAGACAGATCAAAAGTAGTGACCCATGCCCGCCCTACACTATTATGGGTCGGGTAATACTGCCCCATTACATCATCTATGGACAAGCTGTGACATATTCCGAACAATTCAAACCAGATAAAATAGATGTAGTGATTGTTTAGTTAGTGATTCCAAACTTTGATCACAAATTAGTTAAAAACTGAAATTTCGAAGCTTGATTTGTCATTAACCCTAGACTTTAGTGACCGTTTGTGTAAAGGTTAATTTTCTGAACTTACGAGGGGTGAGTGAGCTGTTCTTGGTCCCAGCTGGTCAAGTTTATATATAAATTATGAGTTTCAAGATCATTAAGAATCTCGTTATAAGGCATGTAAGCAATAAGATTTTGAAAAATATAATCTGATAAAAAACTTAATCCGGCCCTTTTAAACAAAGACATTAGCGTTGATGTTATCCACCGGAAATTGGTTAATTTGTTCCACATATTCGTCCAACGTCCATTACAAAATAAGGAAAGAGGAAATATAAATCAGGATAAATAAATATTCAGAAATTATGCTATTGATGACTAAAATGGAGACTAATTGGGATTTTAGAGGATACGTAAGCTCTTATTTGGGCGAGGTGCTAAAAGTTGGCTAAGTGGGAATCAAATGCAGATAAAAGCACCCCGGGTATAATTGTTAGAGTAGTCAAAGAGTCTTGTTAAAAAAAAATATATATTCAAAGAGTAAAGGAAATACCACATTGGTAAGAGAAGGAAAGTGCAAGTTGTTTTTAAGTTTGCTTTCCACTTTAGTAATTGGATAAAGTGGTTAGTTGACTTTTGGAAAAAGTGTGGGCTATAAAATTTGACATATTAAATCACACTACGCACTTAACACTTTTGCGCGACGCGTTCGGATTTGAATTTTTGGCTAATTAGTTACCGGAATTATTTTAATTAATTAATCCGGATAATTATTTGATTTTGACTTTTGTGAAACGACGTAACCCTTCCGAAGGGAACTGCCATTTTCACTATAAAAAGTCTTCTGCAGCCGAACTTCTCGTCAAACGTTCATCTTCTTCTCCTCATTTTTTCCTTCTCCAAAAACACAAACACAGAAGTCATGAAAGGTGCTGCTTTCTGACTTTGATTGGAGAGACTCCTGGGGTGGTAAGGATGTCAATTTCGACCTGACCCGTTTTACCCGACCTGTTTGACCTATTTTGGGGCGGGTCTGACCCGCCCTGTCGGCGGGGCGGGGCGGGCATGGGTAGTCTCATCGACCCGACCTGCCCTGCCCTGACCCGCCCCATTCTCGACCCGTTCTTGTCTAAACTACATGTAATCTTAGTCAAATTACTTAGCATTTGTCTTTTATTGCATCATATTTAGCTATAAGAAAGTTGTAAATTAGTGAAAACCTCAATTTCTCCAATAATTTAACTACAATTGTCATAATATTGTTTGTTTTCTTAGTCTTATAATAAAAATAACGAATATTTCTAATGTTTTTAATATAAATTGCATACTCATTGGGTCGACCTGCCCCGACCCGCGACCCGTGATCAATTACCCGACCTGGACCCGACCTACCACGGGGCGGATCTGGGTACCAAGAGACCTGCCCCATTGCCATTCCTAGGGGGTGGTTTGCCTAAATCCTACCAGCAACTAAGTAGTGGGGGCAAATAAACACTCTAAGGAGAGTTATCAAAATCACCCCTTCAATCCGTTTTCTCCATACTGTTTCCCTCACAATAACATCTTTTATTTCCATTTAAATATTTTTTGTGTATTAATATGTTTGTTGTGGTGTTTTTTAGTTACAAATACATTTACGGTAGATATATTGATGGTTCGGGAGCTATTAGAAGACAAAAAATTAGATACAAATTTTGAAGTTAAAATCCTTACGGATATAAAACACGAGAATTGAAATAACAATTTTAAATGAGTGGTGTGAGTTGTTTCCAATACTAATAATGGACTATACTAGCGGATAATTCCCTATTAAAATACAGTGATGGATCATTGAATTTTCGGATACAAAATGAATGGTATGAGTTGTTTCGAGTACTACTAATTGACTATACTAGTGGACAATTTTGTATAAATATGAAGTGATTGTTCACTGAATTTTTTGGATACGAGATGAGTGGCGTGAGTTGTGCTTTTTTCAAGAAAGGGTGACAGGTGATTAAAAGTGATCTTCTCAAAGCGATGGATGAGTTTTTATCTTACTGGTACTCTTCCTAAAAGTATTGGTCATTCCTTCATCTATCTGATTCCGAAGAAGAGTGCTACAGAGGAGATTATAGACTTTCGTCCTATTAGCTTGGTGGGAAGCGTCAACAAGATCATCTGAAAAATCCTGGTGGCCCGTCTCAGACCTTTTATGGACCGCTTCATCTTTAGGAACTAGTTTGCTGGCGTTACGGGCTATCAGATTCACGAGGCTTGTTTTATTGCTAATGAGCTTCTTGACAGTCGCAGAAGAAGTAGGAAACCGGGAGTCGCGCTAAAGCTGGATATCGAAATTCAAAAGAGCTTTTGATAGCGTCAGCTGGGGTTGTTTAAACAAGGTGCTAGAGGCCTTAGGCCTTGATAAAAGAGTGCAAAAGTGGTTAATGGGCACGCGTTCGGATTTGAATTTTTGGCTAATTAATCACCAGAATTATTTTAATTAATTAATCCGGATAATTATTTGATTTTGACTTTTGTGAAACGACGTAACCCTTCGGAAGGGAACTGTCGTTTTCACTATAAAAAGTCTTCTGCAGCCGAACTTCTCGTCAAACTTTCATCTTCTTCTCCTCGTTTTTTCCTTCTCCAAAAATAAAAACACAGAAGTCACGAAAGGTGCTGCTTTCTGACTTTGATTGGAGGGACTCCTCGGGGTGGTTTGCCTAAATCCTACCAGCAACTAAGTAGTGGGGGCAAATAAACACTCTAAGGAGAGTGATCAAAATCACGCCTTCAATCCGTTTTCTCCATACTGTATCCCTGACAATAACATCTTTTATTTTCATTTAAATATTTTTTGTGTATTAATATGTTTGTTGTGGTGTTTTTTTGTTACAAATACATTGATGGTTCGGGAGCTATTAGAAGACAAAAAATTAGATACAAATTTTGAAGTTAAAATCCTTACGGATATAAAACACGAGAATTGAAATAACAATTATAAATGAGTGGTGTGAGTTGTTTCCAATACTAATAATGGACTATATTAGCGGATAATTCCCTATTAAAATACAGTGATGGATCATCGAATTTTCGGATACAAAATGAGTGGTATGAGTTGTTTCGAGTACTACTAATTGACTATACTAGTGGACAATTGTGTATAAATATGAAGTGATTGTTCACTGAATTTTTTGGATACA